TGGATGATAAAAGAGAGAATGAAAATTTCACAGCTAAAAGGATTCCCTACTGGGCCATTCTGAGCACTTTCTGAGGGCGAGGGACTTTCTCGTAAAATCCTGTTAGAGAGACCGCAGTGAGCCAGTGTCCCCATGGAACACAGAAAAGGAAGCTCAGAGCGGTCACGTGGCCTGGCGTAAGGCATGACATTACACTGCGGGCCATGAGCAAGGCCAGGGCACACGGAGGTTTCCAGGCTCCACAGGGAGAGACTGAGCTCACATACAGAAGTTCTCCAACTGCAGTCATCTCGGTGGTTTTGGTCACACCCCTGCACCTCTGGTACTAACTACCGTGTTTCGAAAATAAGACAGGGTCTTCCTCAAGAAGACACCCTAGGGCTTATTTTCAGGAGATGTGTTATTTTTTCTTTAAGTACGGTACAACCATCTACATTGATTCAAATACAGTTAAGTCATCTTCTTCTGGAACATCATCATCACTCTCCAAATCCCAAATTCCATTCTGAATTTCTTGCTACTCTATTTCCTTTAGAACCATCGGCCCCAATCTCTCATGTCGAGCACTAGAGCTCTCCTGGGACAGATGAGAAGGGCTGCTCGTGTTCTTTCCCGCTCCGCGACGACATGCATGGGTTGTGCAGATGCGCTGCGTAGCCACGCCCATCACTAGGGCTTATTTTCATAGCCACGCCCATCACTAGGGCTTATTTTCATAGCCACGCCCATCACTAGGGCTTATTTTCATAGCCACGCCCATCACTAGGGCTTATTTTCATAGCCACGCCCATCACTAGGGTTTATTTTCATAGCCACGCCCACACTAGGCTTATTTCATAGCACACCATCACTAGGCCTTGATTTTCATAGCCCCACACCTAGGGCTTATTTTCATAGCCACGCCCAGCACTAGGGCTTATTTTCATAGCCACGCCCAGCACTAGGGCTTATTTTCATAGCCACGCCCAGCACTAGGGCTTATTTTCATAGCCACACCCACCACTAGGGCGTATTTTTGGGGTAGGGCTTCTATTGTGCAAAAATGCTTAGAAATCCTGCTAGGGCTTATCTTTATGGGTAGGTCTTATTTTCGGGGAAACAGTTTCATTTGGTGTCTATTTTCTATAAGTCTGATCTGTTTGTTCCTAAATTACTTTGATTTAAGTGGAAGCATTCTATCTCCACCTTAACTAGAAAACCAGCATCACTTGTACATAGACAAACGCTTAACCCCCTTAACCTTGAAACAAAAGAGATATTAAACTCTTGCTGGAAGGAATCCTGCCTGAGGCTCTGAGCCCTGGGCCTGTGTATGCTTTGCTGTAGAGAAAATTAGCAAATGCTAGAAAGGCGGTAAAACATCCCCCCTGGCTAATGAGAAAGGGCAAAAGAAGAGAAAAGTAATAACTTCCTGAGCTTGCCAGAAATGCCAAGATAGGTCAGCGTTCTCTGGAACCTGCTTTGAGCCACAGAATCCTTTGTTCAAATGAAATTTTATTAACAATAATGATGATGCTAATAATAAACAGCTAGTCGTATCAGGATATGCCAAGCCTTCGAATCCAAGTAAATGCAGTGTTTACAAACTTGTGAGACACAGGAGGTTAAATAACTTGCTTAACTAAAGTCTTCCCACCAGTAAGGGACAACCCAGGATTTAAACCCCGACCTGCCATTCGACCCCAGAGTCTCTGTTCTTAATGAATAAATACCCAGACTGCCTCACAAGAATTCCAGTTGCTGTTCTTTTTCAAAAGGGATTAAGAAGCTAAAATATGTCTCTTTTCCCTTCCTGAGGGACTCTGCTAAGCACAGTTATAAACAAATGGGGGGGGGACCCAGCAAATGCATCTACTATATGGCTTGACTTGATTCTTTGAGGAGTATACATTATTTTACTTGTTAGCTTTTTGCTTCCTTTAAGGTAATCATTTTTAACCCTCTTCTCTTTTTCCTTGGATTCTGATGGGGTGGTTCGTTCTTTTCTCTATTTTGCAAACGTAGTTACTATGTCACTACCACCTTCAACAGATTCAAATCTCTCTGAGGGTAAAAAGTTTTGTTTTGTTTTTCTCTTTTCTTTGAATACAAGCCACCCATGAGGTCCTTTGATGAACATAAACATTCTGGATATTTATGAGTTGACTCCAAAGGTGGCATATAAATGTGAATGGCCTGTTTGCACTGTGTTAATATCCTCCTCTAATTTTCATTCTTAGTACTTACCAAGGAACAGGTCGACATTTTGCAGCAAAAATATACAGTGAAATAGCAAACTGGAGTTTTTTCCACGTTATTCATACATGTATCTCAGAAATGAGGAAATATGAAAGCATGCCACATATTTTACAATTATGTTTTATTGCATTCTGTTAAGTGGTGGTAGAGTTTTTAGAAGGCAAATATGATTCCAAATTAGATCATTATTATTAAACCCCTGAAGCCTCATATTGGGTTAAGACTGTCACTAGAAACTTTTGATACATTAAATAATATGCAGTCTATAAGCATTAGATTTAGCTTGAAATATATCAAACTACAGTTTCCTTACTCATCTGTAAGTACAAAGACTTCTAATGTCTTAAATACTTTTATCCTTCAGTGAAAATGTTTTGCTTTAAATTCATTTTTAAAGAACTGTAATGAAAGCTCTAGAGCAATAATCTGGCATGTAGAAATGTCTTGTGAGTTGGGGTCTTTAAACTCGTCTCTAAATGTATTCTGTTGCTAACATGAATTTTTGTTTTGTTTTGTTTTGAATCTAATAGGCTTTTGGTGAATAAAATAATGATGTAGATAGGAAGCTAAATCTCCAATAGTAGACGAAATTTCAAATGCAATAAACCAAAGCAAAAGATAATTAATGACACAGAGCCGAACTACGATGGACACTTCAGAGTAAAATTCAATCAGTGTCCTTCGGCCTTCAAGCAGGGCATTTACTGGGGTGGAAGGGACCAGAAAGAAGATCTGTTTTATAGAATAATCACGTTATGTTACGCTTTTATTAAATATACTTGCATTTGGCATTATACGATTGTTCTTGAAAGGTTTCCGAATGTGTGTAATCATCAGCCATGCGATGGCAGGGCTCTACTTAGCCTTCACATGCAAGGGGGAATGGGATGTAGATATTGTCTAGCGAGGGCGCTTCCTGTCACCCGACAGGAAACAGATAGGAACTTGACCGTGAGCTAGCAATAAATTCACCGGTGTCCTAAACCACAATCACGTCCGGCTCCCCCCAAACCCTACCCCACAGTAAGTGGTAATTACTGTGCACAAGATTTAAAAGATGGACAGCCTCCCTGGATAGAATTCTCTGCCCCTTCCCAGAGCTACCAGGAGTAAGTACCCATCGAACTCAGAGATGAAGCTGGAATGAAACGTATTCCATGCTGTGATCCAACACTCCCCTTTGCTGAATGTGGAAAAAAGTGCTTCCCTGAAGAGAAATTTTTCAAGGCTTTTGCAAGAATTTGCAAAAATTGCAAGAATTTTCTTTTGCAAAAAAGAATTTTTTCTTTTGCAAAAATTGCGAGAATTTTCCCTCATCCTTCTATTACTGGTGGACCCCAATAATAGAAAAAGAATGCTCTTACTTTCCAGACTTAAATTTGGTATAACCTAGCAATGCTGATTATATAAATGAGAAGAGATGAGAGGTGGGAAATGTAGGAAGTGAATTCTAGGAAAACGAGGCTGAAGCTCTTCTTCCCATGGCCATCTGCCCCAGACAGCTCACACCTATCAAAGCATCTCCCAATAGTAACACTTCATATTGACAGGGAAAAACCCCCACCCTGGGGCCTCTCCTGGGGCTGAACTCACTGCTGATTGGATGCTTTTTGGGTCCCACTGCTGATGGGATATGTAAAGCTTGTTGGTGATTGGATGTAAAGCTTGTTGCTGATTGGATACTTTTTGAATCCCACCGCTGATTGGATAACATGCCCGTAGTGGATTGGTTATGTAAAGTTTGCTGCTAATTGGATGCATTTTGAATCCCACCGCTGATTGGATAACATGGTCGTAGTTGATTGGTTATGTAAAGCTTGCTGCTGATTGGATGCATTTTTAATCCCACCTCTGATTGGATAACATGCTCGTAGTGGATTGGTTATGTAAAGCTTGCTGCTGATGGGATGCATTTTGAATCCCACCACTGATTGGATAACTCCTCATGCTCACAGTTGATTGGTTGTGTGTGACCCCAAGAAGCGTATAAAACTGGATGAGAACAAGGAAGCGGGGCTCAGAATTTGGGGGCATGTCCCTCTGAGCCCACCGGTGTAATAAAGGCTGATTCTCCAACCCTCTGTGTGCTGCTCGGTTCTTTCCCTGCTCAGTCGCTGTTAACACTTGCTGTGCACGTGCTGGAACAAGTGTGCTCCTTCCCTGATTTATTTTTCTCCCTGGAAATCACCCCTCTGTAACACAGAATATGTCTCCTCTCTTGTCTTCTTTACTGCCTTCTGTATCCCCCAGGAGAAAACATGCTCTACAAGGGAAGGGGTGTGAAGTCTCTTGTTCACTGCACGGTCGCCGGCCGTGGGTGATGGATGACGTCCACGTCACTTACCAGTATATTCCCAGGATCCAGCCCAGGGGTCTGCCGCCTTTTCCAGCAAAGTATCAGACAGTAGATAGTTCAGGCTTTGTAAATCATACCGTCTATACTGCAGCTACTTAACTTTGACACCGCAGGGCAAGAGCGGCCATGGACCATAAATACATAACCATACCGCATGGCCATGCTCCAACAAAACTTTATTCACAGAAACAGCTAGATTTTTGGCCCAGGGTTATAGCTGTCAACCCTGATCTACACCATGCCTTGCCATATATGGTAGATGCCAAATAAATATTAATATTTAATGTTATAAGTGGCTAGGACATTCCTACACCCGCCAACTCTCTCATGTACTACCCTGAACAAAGCAGACTCTTGCAAAAGACAACTATTACCGTTTTTGTTTTATTGAGTGACATAATAAAAACACAATAGGTAAGTAAAACAAGCATTTTGTCCTGAATGATTGGGGAAGGTCTCTGCTGTCTTGGCTGAATGACCTGCCTTAGTGTCCCAGTGGCAGCCAAAGGCAACTGAGATGATTCAAAAGAAGAGAACTTAGCATAAGGATTATCATTATTATTATCAACAAGAAGATTATTAACAAAGGGGCTGGCAGAGTGGGAGGAGCCAACAGGGGAGGTTGAGGCACTCAGAGAAGAGCAAGAGCAGGAAGCCACGGCAACCCTAGACCTCGGCGGTTGGGGAAGGCCATGCAGGGTGAGAGTTGGAGTTCCAATTCCTGGTTTCCTTTAGTCACTTTAGCCACTTCCAGACTCAATCCAGCTGCCGGGGGACATGGGCAAGGCAGTCTGCAGGACAGAAAGGAGCAGAAACTGGTCACAGAGAGGAAAGCAGGCAGTAACAGAGACAGGAATGTGGGTGACAGTAGCAGACAGAGGAACCCCCAACACATCAATCAGTCAAAACCACAATAAAACCATCCCGCTGCTGAGTGCAGATATTAAAACTTCAAATTCCATATCCTCGACACAGATTACATAAAAAAACACCAATAATGGGGCTGTATACTATCCATGCACGATGACCAATTCTAAGCCGAAACTTTTGTCTTGATTGATGCTGTGGGTTTTTGTTTTGTTTTGTTTTGTTTCCCAGGGGCAGCTTCCCTCCCCCCACCCAGGTCACAGTCTTCAAAAATTGGCACCAGCACTACCCTGGAGTCAGCAACACATGAAAACGGCGCCTTTAATTTCGAATTATAAGGTAACGCGTTGATGAATAACCATGGCCTGATGAGTCGATTCAGGATCTCAATACACAATGGAAGAATCCATCCATTATCTGCTCAGCGTAATTCTTTCATCCCAGCGACTTTAAAAACAACCCAGGAAAATTACTGTCCCTGAGTAAAGCCTTTTGAATTTCATATGCATTTAATTAGGTAACTGCCAGCTCAAGGACAGGAACCATGACAAATAGTTGTTCTTTTCAAATTAGAAGAATAGACTGTTCAATGAACAATATTGATGTTTCTCCTCACCTACTTATACAGAGTTTTCTTACTCTTTTTTTATTTTTATTTTTAGCTAACCATTTTAACATTTAATGAAGCTTTCGTGACCGCTCTTCTCTACCTGAGTGCTCTAGCCTAATGGTGCTCTAGCTAATGCTTTTAAAAACAGCCAAGAGAAGGTTCTCTATGTGCAGAAGACACCTTGCTCTTATGACAGGCCATGGTCAGTCCACGCCACCAAGAGAAGATTCTAACAAGACCATCTTTAGGAGCAAACAAGGAATATTGATCACTGAGCAATGTGCCTACTGGCCGTACCAGTGCTCTACCTTAACCTATAGCCAGGAGCCTAGCCCAGCTGCTTAGGGCAGACAGACTCCCTTTCCTTTTAACTGTGGAATAATCCAAAGCAGAGGTCCTCAAACTCTTTAAACAGGGGGCCAGTCCACTGTCCCCCAGACCGTTGGAGAGTGAGGCCACACATTCCACACATGCGCACTGTGGGCCCGGGACGAGTCGGCTGCTAAGCAGGACAGGCAGCGGCGGCAAAAACACCCAGTGGCGGGCCGGATAGATGTCCCAGGGGGGCCGCATGTGGCCCACGGGCTGTAGTTTGAGGATGCCTGATCTAAATGGTGGGGAATGAGTTTAGACTTGGGGAGTGGGTTGGCTGGGCCGCTAACACAACAAACCAAAGAACCGGGACACTTGACGGCTCTTACAGCTGCATCCCTGCCTTTCCTCCAAAAGATCTCCAAGCAAAGAGGAGCGAGGAGAACAAAGTTGACCAGGCCTGTTTGCTTTCTCCTCTCCCTTATCCTGGCTGTGCACCACGCTGCCCTTCCACACACAGAGTTTGGGAAACTCACATGACTAGACACACACTTTGTAGCTCTCAGCGAACAACATAAATGTGTGCTTATAGTTCTACAGAACTTTAAAAATAAATTTTGCATCATCTATGGTAAGTACTGTGTTTCCTCGACAATGAGACAGGGTCTTATATTTATTTTTCCTCAAGAAGACACGCTAGGGTTTATTTTCAGGGGATGTGTTTTATTTTTTTTTTAAGTACGGTACAACAGTCTACATTGATTCAAATAGAGTGAAGTCATCTTCTTCTGGAACATCATCCTCACTGTCCAAACCCCGAATCCCATCCTGAATGTCTTGCAACTCTGTTTCCTTTAGAACCACTGGCCCCTATCTCTCCTGTGGAGCACTAGAGCTCTCACGAGGCAGATGAGAAGGGCTGCTCGTCTTCTTTCCCGTTCCACGACAAAATTCATGGGTTGCCATTACTAGGTCTTATTTTCAGGGTAGGGCTGCTATTGCACAAATGCTTAGAAGTCCTGCTAGGGCTTATTTTTGGGCAAACATGGTAAATGCTTCTACTATAGACACGGGACAAAAGGGAAAGACAAAACCATTTTGATGGATGCCCTCACATTTAAAAATAGTCTCCCAGTCTCGAATAACAACATGGGGGTCACTGCGGTAAGCTGACATACTGGATGTCGTTGGCTCTGATGATCTCGTTAATACGTGTAGCAAACAGGGCTGTAGAAGAACGCAGTGAAATACTTCCAATTCCCAGCTCTTCTTGATAATTCACTGCATGCTTTTTTTTTTTTTTTTCCCCAAACACTCAGGCTGCTTGGTTTCTGAGGGATTGCAAGCACATCGCTCAGATTGACAGCTCAAGTATTCCAGACAATTGGCTCCCAGAGGGTCAGGACGGGGAAGCTCAGATTGAGGGGGTTCAAACGGGTCATAAACCCTTCATGGATCTCTCCGGAGCGGGTGCGGATGTCTCCCCAGGGATGGTTCATCATTTGCTGCTACAGTCAAGCTCTTGTCATTACAGACAAACACCCCGTCAGTCTCGGGTGCTCATCCAGTCGAGTCTCGCTGCAACCAGTGGAGACAACCGTTGGTATAAGGAAGTCCAGACAGAAAAAATGAGGCGTGCATGCCCACCGGGGCCTGACTGCTCACTCCACGCTTCATTTCTATCTCTGCGCTTTCAGCCTCGCCTCGAGACTCAGCACCTGTTTCTCTCTACCACGATCGCGGGCTTCCAGATCATTCTGGGACTGCACACATCAAACGCCCTTAAAACACCAGACCCGTTTCTAGGAATTTATCCTGAGGAAATAATTGGACGAGTGCCTAAGAGATGTACGGACAAGGTTCTTCCTTGCTCTGTGTGTGTTGTGCAGAAGGAGAATATCGGAAACACATCGATCTTTGTTTGGTTGTCCACAGGCCTGGATTGCAAAATCTTATTTACACCTGTTACCATTACATCTTGCCACCTAATGCCAGAGGAGTAGACTATAGATGGCTTTCAGCTACAGGAACATCACAGTCCCGGAGTGCCTCAGAAAACAGAAAGGCATTGCTGCAAATATTTTAAAGCAGAAGCTCTTGTTCCCAGTCTTGCTTGTGTGATCCCAGCTCTCGGAAAGGAGTGGATCCAACAAGTCAGATGCAAACAAAAACAAATGCTGCTGGATTATTTTATTTCTGAATGCAAATAAAATAAACACTTATCACATGCTAGGGTAGTATCCTCAGCACTTTACGTATATTATTAATGCATTTGATATTCACAGCCACCCCAGGAGGCATGTCTTACTATGAACCCCGATTTTAGATATGAGGAAATAGGCTGGGAGGGATTAAGAAAATCACCCACACAATCTCAGAGCTACTACAGCGGAAAAGCCACAATGGAACCCATACGGCCTGGCGGCCACAATCACACCCCAAACACCGAGCCATGTCGCTTTTCCACTATTCCCGAGGTGACTCGTCCCTGGCCTGGGTGAAGGAGGGGGTATGGTCTCTGCGATGAAGAGACATTCGAGCACACGGTGTCATCAGAGAAAGAAACTGATCGTGCACAAAGACGGAGCTGGGTATCCGATGGACACATTGAGGCCCGGCGTGGTGGCTCACGCCTGTCATCCCAGCGCTCTGGGAGGCCGAGGCGGGGGGATCGCTAGAGGTTAGGAGTTTGAAACCAGCCTGAGCAAGAGCGAGACCCTGCCTCTACTATAAATAGAAAGAAATTAATTGGCCAACTAATATATAGAGAGAAAATTAGCCGGGCATGGTGGCGCATGCCTGTAGTCCCAGCTACTCGGGAGGCTGAGGCAGGAGGATCGCTTGAGCCCAGGAGATTGAGGTTGCTGTGAGCTAGGCTGATGCCACGGCACTCACTCTAGCCTGGGCAAAAAAGCAAGACTCTGTCCCAAAAAAATAAGAAAAAAAAAAATGGACACATTGAAACAGAAACGTTTGCAGGCGACAAGGACTAACTAGCTGAACAGTTGGATCATTCCCCCACCCCCCAGGGGGCTGCATGGTCTGGGAACCGTGTTAAGAACCACGCTACTTCTGGGTCTCATGCACGTGGGCAGAGCCTGTGGGAAGCCCTTAAGAGGGTGGGAGTGACAGCCAGGTCACTTGCTGGGTGATTTTTTTTCCCTCTTAATGTTTTCATTCTGGGCATCCCTCAAGTGAAAAGCCAACTACTTTGGGGAGAACTGTATTTACCAGGGGTCCTCAAGATTTTTAAACAGGGGTCCAGGTCACTGTCCCTCAGACCGTTGGAGAGTGCGCACTGTGGGCCCGGGACGAGTCGGCTGCTAAGCAGGACAGGCAGCGGCGGCAAAGACACCCAGAGGAGGGCCGGATAAACGTGCTAGGCGGGTGGCATGTGGCCCGCGGGCCGTAGTTTGAGGACGCCTGGTTTTTACCAATGCAAGGCTTTATATATCGAACGTCTCTGGCCCTAAGCCGTTCCTTCACTCTGTCGCCCCTGACACAACCAGGATTTCACTCTCTAGAAACAAAGATGACAAAGCTAGAGACACAGCGATGTCACCGCAGCCAACTAGGAGGGACATTTTTACCCTCCCTTATCTAAAAACCTGGCTGGGCCGACGTCGTGTCTACTCCTAGACATCACTTAAAGAAAGACTTTAAAAACTTTAGGAACAATTTATTTAAAGAAAACTCCATTTCCAGGATCCTGTGACTGTATTTCCAAGGTAATAAAATATAAATGAGAACCAAGAACGAGCTAATAAACCGGACTGAAGGCTGCATTGCGATAACAAGGTTTGGGAGCCATTTGCCTGCTACGCGGATCTCCTCGCGCTCATGACTCAATACCATCGGCTGAATTACTTAACAGAAATGAAAGCTCATATTGCTTCTGTTACCCGACGCGGGTGCTTTTTGGAGCTGAACAATGTCACATGTGCTTCAGAGCACTTGTATCTAATCAATACAGAATGCTAAATGTGATTTAAAATCAATTTG